ACCAGTCAAGAAGAGTTAATCAATTTAGTAAATAGGGTAGAAAACGAAAGCAATCGGCTCGGTCTGGAACTAAATACACAAAAAACCAAAATCATAATAGTTAATAGGCAACATAACAACCATCCAAATATAAGTAATATCGACTGCTTTGAAGTCGTTAAGTCATACGTATACCTGGGATCACTATTGACAAATACAGGCACATCGGAAGAAGAGATAAAGCATAGGTGCAACATGGCAAAGGTAGGTGTTGGGACACTGACCAAGATCTGGAAAGACCGCCAGATTTCAAGAGCCATCAAAAACCGGTTAGTCAACTGTTTGGTACTCCCAATATTGACGTATGGCTGCGAATCGTGGACTCTCAGGCAGGCGGAACGTAAGAAGATCGATGCTACCGAGATGTATTATTATATACGTATGCTCCGAATCCCATGGACTGAACGCCGTACAAACGTTTCCATTATAAATGAACTTAATATTACCAACAGGTTTTCCTGTAAAATCCGACTAAAGCAACTAAAATATTTTGGACATATAATGAGGAAAAGTCCGGACAATACGGAAAGACTCATAATTCAAGGCAAGGTGGAGGGACGTAGACCACGTGGCCGCTCTCCGACTCGATGGATAGACCAGATCACGACTAGCTCTAGGAAGCCAAAGCACGATGTCATCGAGATGACAAAATACAGAGGCGCATGGAGAAAAATCATCCATGATATTACGCTGTCCACTGCATGGGGTTTTAGACTGAAGAGAGAGAGAGAGAGACCTATGCTGCTATACTATTAAGATATTATGTATTTAACTAAAAATAGGGCCAAGATCTCTACAACGAACAACCTGTTGGGGAAGCTGGCAAGCTCCACCTGGGGGGCTAATCCACACACACTAAGAACTACTGCTCTTGCACTCTGCTATTCTGTTGCCGAATATGCCGCACCAGTTTGGGAACGCTCCTGCCATGCCAAAAAGATAGACCTGATGCTGAACCAATCAAGCCGTCTAATCACCGGATGCCTAAAACCGACATCGGCCCAACAGCTACACCTCCTCAGCGGGATAGCTCCACCCCACATAAGGGGACAAGTTTCCAGCATGAAAGAGAAACAGTTGATAGCAGCACGACATCCGCAAAGAGACTGGAGTTGTGGTCAGCAACTTCAACAACTCCAAATGAATTTGCGCTAAGGCCAAAAGAGAGAGAGAGAATACAAAGAGAATACAAGCCTACCACATGGCGCGGAGCAGGCATGGCCGGTGTGGAGAAGTCTGAACCGTTTGCGTACTCAGGTTGGCAGATGCAAGACAAACATGAACCAGTGGAGCTACCTTGACGGATCTGTATCCTGTGAATGCGGAGAGGAACAAAATATGAGGCATCTTCGCGTATGCCCAAATCTCCCAAACATATGCAATCACAGTGATCTCGCGGAGGGAAATATCAACGCTCTGGAGTGTGCCAAGTACTGGATATACTGTATATAACTGCTGTATGCATATATATTTTTTGTAGTTTGTCTAATTCTGTACAAGTATTGTTCCTATTTATTTTGATTGTTTAACTATGTTTTTTTTAATGTATGATGTGCTTTTTTTATTAATTTAGCCGTTTTGTATATTTTATATATATTTTTGTGTTTCTTCATTTTTTTTTCTATATACTGAGTTGGACACGAGTAAATAAATAACTAAAAATTCGATTTTTTTTAAATTCCAAATTTTTAAAATTGTTTTCGAAGTCGAAATATACTACCCCTAAAAATATTTGCGCTTATTTAAAACATCCTCTGTATAGTGTATTCTCTCCATAAAGTATTCCAATATTTTGATAAACAAGTACAATTTTTAGTAAATATACTGGATGAAATTTCAGCTCGGCTTTTGAAACAGGAAAGATAAATTAATTTTAAAGAGTAAAGGTGGTCCCTTAATTAACTTAAAGGGACGTCCCGTTAAAATTGCGGCCCGAGTGATAATAATTTAATCAAAATTTCAGATTCGTGAAAGTCGGGCCGGGCCGGTAATAACCCCGCGTAAAAACTTCGAAGACAATGAGGGCTTATAAAAGTTTCAGGGAAGTAATTTAAAACCGGCGGCGAACGCTTTCCAAAGGGAAACAATGACACTGTTTTCTATTTAACATTCATAATGGCCTTCTATAGTGAGGAGACGTCGTTAATAAACCTCTAACAATGGGCGGGTCTAGAAGGACCGTTCTTTATCTTGTGCGAAAACTTTAACAACTTGCTCCCATTTATTCGCTTGTCTTCTTAAATATTAAAAAAATGTGCTACGCGCAAACTCTTTCAACTTTTCTTACTAATGAGAAGAAGAAAACTTATACAGTCAAATAAAAGTAGATGTTTTAAACTGTAATTAAGGTAATCGAGGTGTCCAGGGTTCAAATTCAACAAATATATATTTCTTTACAGCGGCCGGTAATGGCAAACCAAATACGCCGTAGGCCTGCGTTGGTTAGTGTCTGGTGTATGTTCTTTTTTAAATTGAACGCGATATACCCGACGGTATTTTTTTAGACATTGTGAATGGTTGTAAACTAAAAATTATTTCACTAATTTACAAACTAGTTTCGAGATTCTGAATAAGACTTTAGTTTATTCTTTTTATAAATATTCAAAGCTAATAATAGCTTTTAATATATAATTCAGGCGATAATAACCTGTTAATAAATACCATATCATAACAGCGCTGAAATTTCCAGTGGTTTATACGTCATCCACACCGTTGTGACCCATGCACTTTAGACGCTTAACACATACTTGTAATGTTAGTGTTACACGGGACCTACACTTTATCTCCGAATCCGAACGGCACTATTTGAGAGGTCTACTAGGCAAATATAGCCAAATTGGTTTGCCATTGCCTCCTTTGAAGTGGTGTCTCGCTGGTTGCTCAATTTAGATAAATAAATATTTTTATTTAAATAAATAAAGCAAAAGTATTATCTGGGAATCGAACCCAGTAGTACCACTCACACAGTAGTTTGACAAACTATAGCTGTAGCCACACAGCTATAGTTTGTCAACTGACAGCTAACTAGAAAACTATGTAAGAGTTATTCTTTTATATCACGGTACAAAGAGATACAAATTTTGTAAAATTAATGATCTGAATTTTTTATCCTTGTTTCTCTATCCTAACTTTTCATCACTCAGGGTGTATCTATAATATGTGTCTAAAGCTCTAAAGATACTCCTAGCTTCTTAAAATATTCAAAATTATGCAGGTGGTTTATTATAATTTTCTCCTACAGATAAGCAATTTATTTTTTTGTAGAATCACAAAATATTTTTGTAAATCATGAAAACTAATAAAACTCAAATTTGCAAACAATTCTGTTTGCAAAATTAAAGTTTTTTTTATCCATTGAAGGCACTACGGAAGGCACTCCAAACTCTGCATTTTAAAGTTTTACCTATATATACAGGGTGGTGACAATTTCGATGCTCAACATTGGCATCTCAGAAACGACGAGATATACGAATTCGGTTAAAAATGACAAAAGTTGCGTAATTAAATGTTTGACAAACACCTATGAAAAAAACCCCGGTATCTTGATTAGTTTCGAATTTATGTAAAAAAAATGAAAATAATACGTTTATTTTAAATGACAATATCTTCAGAACTGTTGTATCTATTGCAACGTAAGTTGGTAGGTATATATCTTTGACCTCGGCCAATTAAATACCGTTTTCAGAAAATTTCTAAGCCTTCTATATTTCGCACAACAACAGTCAAGTTTTTGTTTTCTTATAGCCGCCATTTTGAATTGATCCATTGATCGTCAACTAAAACACCACAATATATTCACAAAGTTACTGATTTCTACATTATTATATTTTCCACAACATTATTTAGAAAATAAATCAAAGAATAAAGAAAGAATATACATTCATTTTTTGTATATTTCTCTTTTGGGGAATTATCACTATACACCCTTCAATAATTAAATCTCTCCCGAATAAATAAAATTATTTCGATCAACACAGTCTGCCACGCCAAATTCAGACCATTTTCAGAGAACCATTTAATCGGGAGTTTCTCCAATGTCAGATAATTCTTTTCGGCATGCCAGTTGCGTGCCTTCCACCACGCCCTATGCGTGACTCCAAATTGAAAATCTGTTTTTATTCCTCTTTTTTCTTTATTCTCTTTTTGAGCAGGAGAACGGCTAAATAATCTTCTAGTAACGTCAGATTTTTTTATTCCCAAAAAAACCTTACATGGAGACTGATTTTAGTTTGATTTAGCTAAACAAACATTTGTTAAATTATTAAATTTGTTAAATTATCAATTTTTTAGTCCTATTTTTATTGTAACATTAAAAGTTTTAAGGTAATAATATACTACTCCTAAAGATGGCAAAACCCCCAATCTAAATTGTGGAAAGCTCGCGAGCAAAACTAATATCAGCATAACAGTAATTAAGGCTGTCCAAGAACTTTATAAGAACAAAACTAGCCAAGTAAAGAAAGGACAGTATCAAAGGGATTCAACATGAACAAAGGTTTCAAACAGGGTTGCTGTTTGTCCCCGACACTGTTTACAAATCTATTTGGAACAAGCCCTGGAAAAGGAAGAGCGAACAGATGGGCATACCACTAAACGACTCGATACTTTACACTCTTTGTTTCGCTGATGATCAAATAATACTGACTCAAGACTACGAGGACTTGAAATATAAAACCCGCAAATTAACTAAAGAATACAGTAAGTGGGGGCTGGAGGTAAATCTTAAAAGGACGGAATATATGTGTATAGGATGTGAACAACAGAACTTAATCCTAGAACAACAACAGCAAAAGATAAAACACTGCCAAAAATATAAATATCTTGGAATGCACATTTCCAACGATGGTAGCGTTGATGAAGAAATTAAGTACAGAAACAACCAGGGAAGACAAGCAATACAAGAACTCAACAATATTCTATTGGGATGAGGCAGTATCAAAAAAAAAATAACAATATTTATAACAGCATAGTTAAAAGCATCATTAGTTATGGTAGTGAAGTATGGCCTTTGAAAGAAAAAACTTAAAGTCACTCGAAGCTACAGAAATGGACTTTTGGAGGCGCGCGTTCGAAACTGTATAGAGTAAGAAATGAAAGAATTCAGAACATCATGGCGACAAATGAACCAATTCGGGTGGTAGGGGCACGTACACATAATGGAAGAGAGCAGAATCCCAAAGAAACTACTCAATTAGACACCACAATCAAGGTAAAAGAAAGAGAGGGAAACCTAGACGGAGTTGGTGAGAAGGAATAGGCTGGAACATCAGAACAAGAGGAATAGACGAAAACCTCTGGACAGACAGAGACCAATGGTCTGGAGTGTGGAAATCATAAGACGGCGAGGAACGTTATCAACTGATTTGTATTGATTGATTTGTATATACTCTACTACCTTTAAAATTATTTGCATTTATTTTAGACTCGCGCTGTATATATTTCTCTCATTAATTCTAACAAATATTTTTCAAAATAAGTTGGTGTAAAGCAAACATCACCTTTACAATAACTTGGGGAGCTATAGTTCGGTGCTGCAGATTAAGAAGAGATAGCTCACGTCGACTATATTTCTTTAGGGAAAGACGCTTTGCATTTTGTACAGACGTATTCGACGAAGTATATACACGCAAACAGTGTGCAATATAGGGCAGACGTGTTTTCTTTCTTTTAAAATTTACAGTATCTCTACTTTTCGTGTAAATATTTTATCTAGGGTAACCTACAAATATTATGATATATTCTTTCTGTGAATAATATATTAAAACAATGTTCCTTCTAACTAATTACAAATTATGTCAAACAGTTTTTGTATTAATCAGATCGTTACTTATAATGTATTTTCTACACTAAAGAAACCTTAATTGTAACTGTTTTACGATCAACAGTAACCAGCACAATTTAATATATAAAATATCTAAATAAAATTTGATGATAATATGTTTTATAATTAGGATATAGAATTATTTCTATATCTACTTGGAATAATTATGGTTCTGTCTTTAAACAAACTATGCGACTTCTTGAGAGAATGACAAATATTACTCTACAATTTTCAATGTAATTTTCCTATAAAAATTCATGATTAGCTTAAAAAATAAACCAAATAAAACAGTTACCAAATTTATCATTTCAGTCAAATAACTATGTAGTCAACATGTTTATTTTTTATCAATAATGGAATGGATTCCAATAATGTATTAAAATAAAAATAGTTTGGGTACCTAGGTCGACACAGCCTTAAATGAGTACTTGAGATTCAAAATCCTGAAGTAATAACAGGCGGTTGAAGCGTAGTGCTAACCACATTACCTTCCTTGTATGCCGAACGGCTCTAGCATGGCAAGCTGTACCTTGCTACTCCCAAGGCGTTAAACGCTATATACGGGAGCTATTATTATTATTTATATTTTTAACACAGTAATTTTATACAGGTAGGGACGAAAAGTGATTACTCTTCAAATCAGTTATAAAAATCATGTAGGTGGCGGCCCCTACCAGTAGGTGTCATATTAATATCGAAATCAAATTTGTCATGTCAAAAAATTTCCAGACACCAATCATCATCCAAATATCGACGTTATTTCAGAAATTATTTGCAAAAAAAACGAATAAAAATGAAATCTCTCATCTCACTCTGTACCTCCGAAACGAAGCATTTTAGGGCATAAAGCTGGATTTATAAACACAGCAGTTGAAGTTCAGTTGAGGTTCCAGTTGACGTTCAAAATGTTCAACACTATGAAGTCAGCGTATTGAAGTTTGAAAAATATAAAAAGTATTTTTAAATCGAAAGAAAAGAGTTCGAAATTTTTACAATTCCAAACCTAACCTACAACCCAAACTGACAGTTTATAAATGCAAACATTTTGAACCACAACTGCCGCAAACATCCAACTGCAACTGAACCTCAACTGAACGTCAACTCCCGAGTTTATAAATCCAGCTTAAGTTTATACGAACTTTTTTAGTTATTTTTGTCTGCAGAATATGCTGCTGAAGTTTTCCGAATACAAGTCGCACCCTCCTGTATAACACATACTAACTACAATCCGATGATGTCAAAAGAAACCAACCCATTTAATCTTTCAGTCGTGCTTTAATTGTTTCGCATTTGTATTAAATTTAGGTTAAAATTCGCTTCGAAAATTGGCTTTTATCTCCGCCAAATTCACCTCAGGTTACACTTCAAAGTATCTTTTTGGAGCTGCCGCCGCCGACGCTTGTCAACGGCAGACCTTACCTGCCCCTCTACTCATTTTAATTCTTAATCGGGTACAGAGGGGGCGCCACGTTGTGGTATTGTTTCATTAAAAAATGAGGTCAGGCCTTTGTGTAACTGACTTGGTTTTATTAAAGGTCTCTGTTTTTTCAGTATTTTACGGATTATCCAATTGGCCTCGAGGTAGGCGCTGGATCGGTTGGCAAAGGCGAGGTCGTCTTTGATATAATTTTTTGCTTTATTCTCTGTTAATGTATCTGTGTTTTTGGCGTTGGAATGGATTACGAAAAAAATTAAAATTATGTTTTTATCTTGTTATAAAATTTCGTTTAACAAAAGAAACTGTATTACGTAGGATTGTTTTTTAAGTAAAAATCTGTTTTTTAATTATCAACTGTGTTTTGCCTTACCTCCAAGTATTTGTAGAATCTAGAATGTATGGGAGGGAGATTAATCACTGTGACATTACAAGTCAATTGTGTGTCTTTTTTTCTTAAGTTATAGTGAGTCAGAACTCATCATACAGTCTTAGGGCTACGACAAAAGCCAGTATCTAAGACGGCTTCACAGAGGCCAGTTCTCCATCTCCGATGTCAGTCGTACCAAAGTTTGTGGCAATTGGTTATCGTCTCGGTGCACCCAGTGATGGGGTGTTCTGGTCTTTCCCCATTTTCCCCACAGAATCTGCATTCGCTGTTGTTTCTTAGCTTCAATCTACTGAAATATATTGATTTTACGCCATCATCTCAATATAAATTCGATTATAGCCTACAGAACAGAAGTATTTTGGAATGCTAGTATATATTAGATTATTATAATTAGAGAGTATAAAATAATTTATAAAAAATAGATATTTGTCTCTTTTAGGATTTTTTATAACATAATAATTTATAGAGAACTGAAAGTTAGAAACAAAGCATTACTAATGGAAATAAAACTATAAATTAGGAATATAAGCAAAACCGACTATGTCGGTTAATAAAGCCCACTAAGCGGCCACCTCGCTTTGCAAGAATAACAAGAGAAAACCCACAAAGCTAAAAGCTGGAATTATTTAACCCATTGTTACTGGTTAAATGGTTTGGCACTCTAAGTGCCGGATAACATACATATTAGAATTATCGCCATTAAGGATAGCCATTTTGGCATTCTCTTCAGTTACAATGAATGTAAAAAGGTAACATTTTGAAATAATTTTATTTTGTTTTTGCTATAAATAGTAATCTATTATTCCATGATAATTTTTTGATAAATTATTTATTTAGCATTTTTCAGTTAGATAATATTATAATTATCTAGTTTTTAAGTGTTGGTCAATAAGGACAGAAAAAATCACTCCTTAACACCTCTGTTTTTCAACATAATGAATGAAATTACAAAAAAATTGATAAGGTAAAGGCTGTCAGAGAAAGGAACGCATTTTTCGAATGAATTTAACCAAATAATTGTCAATTAATCTACAGGGTGGTCCGAACTCTATTCCGGAAACTTCTGCAGATAAAAATAAGTAAAAATGTTCGTATAAATATATGTGCTAAAATGCTTAGTTTCAGAGATACAGGATGTAGAAATTGCAGTTTTATTTCAATTTTTTTCAAATAATTTCTGAAGGAACGTCGATATTTAGATGAAAATTGGCGTCTAGGAGTTTTTTGACATGAAAAATTTGATTTTGATGTCAAAATGACTCCTACTTTTAGAGGGCGCCACCTACATATTTTTTAACTGGTTTAAAGAGTAATAATATAAAACAAGAAAGACAGAAAAAGAGTAGTAATAATAAACTTTTCGTGTGTACCTGTATATAAACTACTAGGTGAAAGAAATATACATTTACGATGTTTTTTTACACAAAAAGATCTCTTAGTAAAAATTGCTACCGACTAATGGTTTTCGAGATATTTGGAATTCGAATTATCAATACCTGTCATCATTGACATAAATTAAACATGTTGGACTAAATAGTTATTAGACTGAAATCATAAATTTGAATTATTTTTGTACAAAAAAAAGTTCAACAGAAACTGTTTTATCATCATTTTTCAAAGAAAAAAATATGATTAATTTAAAAAATAAAGTTCACAAATTTATTATTTTAGTCAAATAACTATCTACTCAACATATTTATTTTCTGTCAATAATGACATGTATTTGACTATTACCATTCTAAATATCTTGGAAATGGTTACTCGTAGTGATTTTTTACCATTAGACATTTTACGTAAAAAATTACGGAAATGTATATTTTTCACCCAGTAGTTTTATACAGGTACGGACGAAAAGTTATTATTCTTCAAAAACAGTTATAACACATGTAGGTAATGTCCCTTACAAATAGGGAGTCATATATTGATATCAAAATCAAATTTCATGTCAAAAACTACTGAGACATTAATTTTTATCCAAATAACCGACGTTACTTCAGAAGTGATTTAGAAAGAATCTCAAATCAAATCTCCGAAACTAAGCATTTTGTAACATACATTTTTACTTTATTTTTATCTGCAGAATATGCTGCCAAGTTTTCGGAATACAGTCTGGACCACCCCTGTATTACTGCATTAATTGAGTATCTTATTTGGCTATGTTGATTTATATCTTAGTGATTTAATTCAACGCCATCATACATTTTTGGAAAGTAAAAACGTACTACCCATTCAATAAAATTGGTTATCTTGAGCAAGCAGATATTTAAGACAAAAAACAAAC